TTTGTGATGTTCTGGACGGGAAAAATTACGACATAAAGCAACTACTTTTTTTGCGAAAATCCAAATTTGAGGTGAGGGTATTCATAAACGATTCACAGGCCGAATACGTTAGACTTGCGCTATCTCGATTGTATTGTGCATCATTAACATAAAGTAGGTGTATTTTGCGCGTGGTCGCCATCTCGCCGAGGTCGAGATGCGATAGAAATCTCGCCGAGGAGACCGCAGACGGGAGGGGAACATGGCCACTTTTGCCTCCAAAAACGGGCCAAACAACAGCCCGTAACGCCTACCGACAATGAGAACGTGATTCTGCGCTGGCTTACAGTTCAAGTTTCGGAAATCACTAAATCCCATCTTGTGTTCACTATCTGGTACCCCTATGCATTGGTGTAACCTCGCTCTGGCAATGTGTCGATTTTGTTTTTACTGGAAACTATCTACTCCTACGACCAAGGACGTCGAGAGTTGTTAGCGCAGTGTTCTTGCACTTATCCGTCTAAGCTGCTAATCGAATTACTCGGTAAAAGTAGAAATCGATTTTTGTTAGTCTTTCATACTTACCATACTTATAAGCGCCACTTCTTGGATTGCGAACTGGATTTGGTCTCCAATGTTTGCTGAGAATGAGCATACATTATGGCCATATGCTTAATACTCGTTTAAACTTCATCAAAAATCGCTTTCACTCCTTATGTTGCAAACTAGACTCTTTGATTGTCTCTGTAAATCCTTTCATTTGCTTATATAGAGAAGTACTGCTACTCGGCTGAGACTTGGACGTACTTCTGCCAATATCTCTGGCCAAACTCGTACATAGTGCTACTAAGACTAATTCAACTTAATTAATTTTTCGGATGGGCTATACTCTATTGAGAGTTCGAAATCAATTGTTCCTAAATAGCAGAAAGTGATTCAATCAAGGATGGCTTTCCTGGGTCTTTTCTCCTTACTTTCTCCCCTTTGTTTTCACATCCAGTTTCTCATTCTATCACGTTACGCCTTCACTGTTATATGAAAACCAACACGTGGGGGTATGTGGGCCCGCGTATAGGGACCATTTTCGGAAGCGCAGTTGCGCTGCAGCCTTTCTCAGCTGAGGCACGTTATCCCTCAAGACTCATCCTGATAAGCATTGCCTTGGTTTTATCTGTTTCTTGTATAGGCATATGTGTATATATGTGCTACGCGACTGATGTGCATGCAGACATGCTGCCTTTTCCGCTAGATTTTGAATTTTTTGGGATTGCGATATTTTTATTACTCGTATTTTGCTTTGGTTTTGATGTGTTCTACTTCCAAAGCTCTCCCATCCGAAATCTTTAGATCTGTCATTACTACATTCATTGCCAAAAAAATCCTTTATTCTGTAAAGATCTACGCTAAGAGCGAAAAAGAGGGTGAAGTTACATGGACGATGAGTCTAATGCGGAAATGAAGATTCAGCAAATACTGCATACAATCGTATACTCCTGCAAACGCGTTTTGTGGAAAAGATCCCACAAGAAAATGGTTGCTGTGCTTCGGGTTAGCTGTAGCAACGCTGTAATCTGCAGAGCATGGTCACACATGTTTTATTTCGCAGGCATAGGAAAGAAATCATTTGTAATAACGTTTATGGCATTGAGATATAGCAGTCAACTTTGTTCATATACATACAAAACTCTTGAAAACGAAATGATGGCGTCTGTAGATTCCTATGAGAAGTTTTTTTACGACCCAATTCTATGCGTTTTTAATATCCTTTGGATAATTTCCTATTTATTTATGTTCACTAGTCTTTTCAAGTGTAAATATCAGAGTTCTACTTGCTATTTTATTGATCCTGTTGAGATGCTTCAGTTCAAATTAAGTTGATATTTGCTAACATTGTCATATTATCTATAATTATGAGATATGTTGTATTCAATAATAGCAGTCTATAAATAACTATTGCGAAACAGTGTGAACGATTATAAGAAGCCATTATGAAAGATGTTTCCCTGTTTTATATGAAACCAAAATAACCATAAATGCCTTTCAGATAATTTATTGCACAAGACAAACCTTTTACAGCTCATCTCAAAAGCTTCTCTAGAACAAGAGTAGAAAGTTACGATCAATATAATTGACTTGATTGTCTGCTTTGAGAATTGGTAAACAAAATCTAGGAACTTTTGGGTAGTCCAGCACAAAATGATCGCCGGTGCATTCCGTAGCTTCTCATCCATGCGCTTTGACAGCTTTCGCGCTACAACCGAGAAAGGCTGCAGCGTAGCCGCGCGCGCGAAAATGGACCCCGCGCGTGGCCACCTAGCGAATTTCATCTTTAGGCGTCAAATGAATGATTTATTGCAAACAGCCTATTTTACGCCAAATAAAATAAGTTCTAAATTCATTTGCGCAAAATTGTTCGTGTTTTGGTGCTCGAAGTACGTTTTTAAATTTTCTGCTGTCTTCCTTATTGTTCCTGTTTTATGGTTTATTTGTGCCGTTATGTTTGTCATCCCCTCATTACTCCTTTTTGGGGGCTTTTTCCTTTTTCAGGAAGCGGTATATTAGCCTACTTTTCCCGGATATCAGGGAAACCCGCGTAAGTAAACTTTTGTGCATGCGATTGATTGTTTACACGTTGCGTTACCCTCTGCAATCATTTTAGTTCACATTATTATGAACATGCGAACAATTTGATGTGTGAGGGGAGCTCACGTAAAAATTTCTTTTCACCTTTCTTGCATGAATTTTCAATAATAAAATCCGTATACAAACTTTTCAAATGCCATCCCCATTTACTATCACAACTTGTTATTTTTTGCTAGATAGTAGTACATGCATAATTTTTGCTATATTCTATATCAAATCTACTTTATTATTATATACAACTATATTATATGCTATATTATTGCGCTATATCCTACGAAACCTATGATCTATATAACTCTAACGTTAGGAATAATCTATGGCATTATACTATGGTAGTAAATATACGCTACATATTCTATTTATACTTTTATATTATTTACGCCAATTCTGCTCCGTTAATAGGACACGTTGACTATGAATGAGCTGAGGTTAACGCTAACATGTTAATGATTGGCATGCATAAATATTGACTGACATTGAGTTTTTCAAAGTTTGAAAGGTGGGCTGATTGCGCACAGTTCCTTGAGAAAAACAAACAAGAAAAGCATCACAAAGAGAGGTACAGAAAGAAAGGCATAAATGCAGTAAAATGCTCAAATGAAACAAAAACAATTTTAATTGTTTGAAAAACGCACCTTTGAGCCTAGAATTATAATCGCAAAAATTAATGAACTAATTCTATTTGGCGTATGAGTAA